GTCTGTCTTCCCTTGATTGACCAACCCCCATCCTTATTTCCCACCTACACTCACCTTTACTGGCTCCATCCCCGCCTCCCTGACCTGTCCGTCTCCTCTCCACCTATCTGCTGCTTTATCCATCTTCCATCCACCTCCCCCCTCTATTTATTTCAGAATCCCCTTCCCCTCCCCCATTTCTGAAGAAGGGTCCAGACCCGAAACGTCAGCTTTCCTGCTCAGCCTGCTGTGTTCATCCAGCTCTACATCTTGTTATCTCGGGTAGTTTGGAGACGCTGGCTATTCCTAGAGTAGACAAGTCACTGGGTCCGGATGGCTTGCATCCCAGGTTGCTAAAGGAAATGGGAGTTGAACTTAGAAGAAGGGCTTGCCGGAATCTTCCAATCTTCCCTACATATAGAAGGGGAGCCAGAAGATTGGAGAGGGACAAATGTAAGGACATTTCAGAACAGTGTAAGGACAGTCATGGCAATCAGAGGCTGGTTTATTTAATTACAGTAATGAGTAAGGTTTTTAAAATCAATAATCTTAGAAACAAAAGATTAACAAAGACTGGGAGAGGTCAAAGTTAATTTAGGACAGCACAAATTTCAAAAAGGCAGATTATGTTTGATTTATCTATGTGAATGCTGTTTATCTGGACCTCTCCTGTTTTTGCTACAAATGAATTTGACCTTGGAGTACAGAATAAATTTCAAAATTTGCCAGGGATACTTAGGTTGAAGTGGCAAACAGTGAGGATCATAACAAATTGGCTGTGATAGGACATAAACAGGTGAGCACAATACGGAGGTGAGCATCAGGTGGAATTTAAGAAATAAAGTGTAAGGTGATACAAGAACTGATTGCAAAGATACGGACTTTAGTTGTAAGATTAAGTCAGAAAATGGGGTTGTTATCCTTGCAGCAAAGTAATGGGAGTAAATTCTGATACAGCTAAACAAAGTTATGACAGATTTGAATTAGAAAGACAAAGAAATATTATTCCCATTAGCTGATGGAACACTGACAAGGAAATAGAATTGTAAAGGGCTTGGGCAAGAGATGAAGGGGACCTCCTTGCCCACAAAAAGCTGAAAGCAGAAACGACTGCAAAAGGAAACTGGCTATGCATTTGGACAAAACAAAATGCAGAGATTTAATTACCCAAAACTCTGAATTCAGGTTCAGTCCCATTAGGTTGGAGGATAGCAAATTTAACTCATTCAAAAAGGGGGCAAAGCAGGAAAGCACAAGTCGGTTAATTTAATGGCTGTCATTAGGAAAATGCTAGAATCTACTATTACAGATGTTATAGCAAGACACTGGGGAGATTCAAGCTAATAGGCACAGTCAACAGAGTTTGGTGAAACCAAAATCTTGTTTGACCAGTCTATTGAAGTTCTTCAAGGCGATAACTCATGCTGTGGGTGAAGGGAAATCAGTGAATGTACTGGACTTACATTTCCGGATAACATTTGATAAAAGGAGCCACATCAAAAGGTTACTGCTGAAAATAAAAGCTCCGATGCTATGTGAAACATACTGACGTCGATGTAAGATTTGTTGGCCAACAGAAAATATGCATAAATTATCTTTTTCAGACTGTCAAGACAGAAAGAATGGTTTTCCACTGGAATAAGTATTGGGGCCTCACCCGTTCACAAGTTATATAAATGATTTAGACAAAGGGATAGGAAGGGTTGCTAAATTTGCTGACAACCCAAAGGTGGGTAGAAAATTAAGTTGTGAAGTGGACATAAGAAAGCTACAAAAATACATAAGTAGATTCAGTGAGTGTGGCATATGGCAAATGGAGCATAATGAGGTAAATTGTTGGGTTGCCCATTTTAGCAAGAAGTATAAAGAAAAAAAGCACATTAGTTAAATGGTGCAAGATTGCAGAACTGAGTTACACAGGGATCTGGGTGAATCACATAGGTTACTGTGCAGGTGCAACAAATAATTAGAAAAGCCAATAGAAAGTTGTCACTTATAGCAAGGAAATTGACTGCAGAATGAGATTATTCTTTAGTTATACAGGGCATTGTAAAACCACATCTGGAGTACTGAACAAAATTTTGGTCACATTTTTAAGGAAGGGTATCAATGTGTTGGGAGCAGTTAGGAGTAGGTTTACGAGCCAAATACCTGGAATAAGAAAAGGCTGGACAGCCTAGGCTTGTATCTGCTGTAGTGTTGAAGAGCAACAGGCCACTTGATTGAAACATATGGGATTCTCAGGTCGCTTGAAGGCATACATGTTGAAAAGATTTTTCCTTTCATGGGAGAATCTACAACTAGTGCTCACTGTTTTAAAAAAACCAAGGGTCTCCCATTTAAAATGAGATTGGCATTTATTTTTCCTGAGAGGCTCACCAGTTTTTGAATCTTTGTTTCTATCACCATTTCAAAAAGCGAGCTCTTGACAATTTTGAAAGCATAACTGAAGAAGATCCAAATGAAGCAAGGGGATGCAGATTATCTGGGGTAGGAGAGAATGCAGATTTGAGGTTTCAGTCAGATCAGCCATGATTCTTTTGAATGAAGGAGTAGACTCGAGAGGCTTTCAGACAAATTCAGCTTGTTACTCACATTAGCATGCATGTTCACAAACTTGAACAAAGATACATGTTAGGTACTCCCACTGGGTACATTAATGACAACCAAAATATCAGACAGCATTCAAGTGAGGCAAGATAAAGAGATCTATACATGTTTCTCATCTTTTGGGGTTGAGGACTGATGTGTCTGCATTAAAGTCATTGACTTTTATTAGTGACGGGAGGTAACTGTACATTGACAATCAGGCAACATAAACTTTAGGAGAAAGGTAAACCAAAGTTAACTTACATTATGTAAGTTATCTCAGACACCAATTCAAAAAATACAGAAATAGTGAAGAGAAAGGGAAACAAACTGCATGCAATCTTAGCTCAATTACCAGCCTGTTCAAAATTACCCAACAATGCGAAGTGTCTAATTGGCTTTGTCAATAGGTCTCTTCTACCAGGAAAAAAATCTGCTCTAGCCACTTTCTTGGACAAAAATTATTGCATTTTCAGCACGGCAAAGTTGTACGAAAGGCACGTTGTGAAAATTTCTCAATAATCAGAAATTTCTGAAGAAGGGTCTAGGCCCGAAACGTCAGCCTTCCTGCTCCTCTGATGCTGCTTGGCCTGCTGTGTTCATCCAGCTCTACACCTTGTTATCTCAGATCCGCCAGCATCTGCAGTTCCTACTATCTCTTATCTAAGCATACACTGCTTCTCAGAGTCATACAGGTCGGAAACAGAACCTTTGGTTCAACCAGTCCATACCAACCATAGTCTCAAATCAAACTATCCCATCTGCCTGCACTTGATCCATATCCCCCCAAACATGTCTTGCTCATGGACTTATCCAAATGTCTTTTAAATATTGTAACTGTACCCAATTCCACTACTTCCTCTGGAAGTTCATTGCATACATGTACCACAATGTGTGTAAAGCAAAAATTGCCTCTCGTCTTTTTAAATCTTTCTCCTTTCACCTTAAAAATATGCCACCTAGCCTTGAAATCCCTCCCCTAGGTAAAAGACACCTGCCATTCACCTTACCTATACCTCATGATTTTATAAACCTCTATAAAGGTCACCCCTTAACTTCCTACGCTCCAGTGAAAAGAGTCCCAGCCTATCCAGCCTCTCCTTATAACTCAAACCCTCCATTCCTGACAACATCCTGGTAAATTCCTGGTAAATCTTTTCTGAATCCTCTTCAGTTTAATAACATCCTTCCTATAACAGGGTGACCAGAATTGGACACAGTACTCCAGAAGAGGCCTCACCAATGTCCAATACAACCTTAACGTGACATTTCATTCCTATACTCAAAGGTCTGAGTAATGAATGCAAGCATCCTAAACACCTTAACTGCCCTGTCTACATGTGACGCAAACTTTAAAGAATTATGTCCCTGTACACCTCGGCATCTCTGTTCTACTACACTATGCTTCTTTGCAGGCTCAATGACTCAGTATTCCACATGCACACTGTCTGCAGCTGTTTTTAGCACCCCCTTGCACATTTTGCACTTTAGCTCCATGCTCCTTATCTGTCACAATCCAGGGTGAAAGTAGCAGGCAGATCAGAGGACCCATAAGGCAATATGACCATAAAGACCAGAAGACAGCCTTTCAGCCCAATAAGTCTGCACCATCACACTATGAGATCGTGATTAATTCCACAGATTCACGATCCTCCAAAAGAAGAAATTCCTCGTCATCCGAGTTAAAAGTGAAAAGCTTTGCTCCAAGATTATACCTCTGTTCCTATACTGTCCCACAGGGGAGAAACAACCTCTCTGTACCTATCCTGACAAGTTTCTTAAGAATCTTACATGTTTCGAAAAGGCCAACTCTCATTCTTCTAAACTCCAAATGAATGTAGGCCCAACATACTCAACATCTCCTTCGAAGACAATCAGCCCATAATCAGGATTGATCTAGTGTAGCTTCTCTGGACTGCCTCCAATGCCATTTCATTACATAGATAAGGGAACCATAACAATCGTTAGCCAGAAGTGCTGAACGGATGATCCATCTCGCCCTCCTCCTGAGGTGCCCGGTATCAAAGATGCCTTCAGTATTCAGTCAATATGATTCACTCCACATGGTATCAAGAAATGGCTAGAGGCACTGGATACTGCAATGGTGATGGGCCGTGACAACAGCCCGGAAATGGTACCAAAGATGTGTGCTCCAGAACTCATTGCACCCTTAGCGAAGCTGTTCCAATACAGTTACAACACTGGCATCTATCTGACCACTAGTAAACCAATGCTTTGCACAAGACCTTATTTTTAAATTCACATATTGCAGTCAATCATTGTTGAGGCATCTTACCGTAGCAATAAAATGCTATCATCATCAAGGGGAGGTGGGTGAAGTTTTCCAAGTCAACCTATTGCTTCGACAACAGAATTTCAGCCATATACAACCACATACACATCTCAAGGACAACTCTACTTTTTGGTCCTACCTGTTCCACTCGGCCACTGTTGATTTCGTTTGGAAGAAATTTCTTGCCAATGGCTCTTAAATCACTCTGGAAACAACATATTATTACAAATCAGATTACTGAATACCAAAACAAAGAATATACTCTTTTACATTTGGAACTCAATATCAAAAAACTTGCATTAGCTGTGTGAGCTCAATGAATGATAGACATTAGAAAGCCGAGAGGAACAAAGGGATCTTGTGGTGCTTATCCACAGATCCCTGAAGGCAGCAGGGCAGATTAATAGGAATGTTAACGCATCATTTGGAACATTTACATTTATCAGTCGTAGCAGAGATTACAACAGCAGGAAGGTTATGTTGGAGATGTACAAACTTTTGGTTAGGCCACAGTTGGAGTAGTTTGTGCAGTTCTGGTGGCCACACTATAAGGAGGGTGTGATTGCACGGAGGACGTGCAGAAGAGATTTGCCAGAATGCTGCCTGGGTTGGAACATTTTAGCTATAAAGAAAGGCTGGACACGTTCAGTTTCTTTTGTCAGAAAGTTGAGGGAGACCTGATTGAGGTTTATAAGATGACAAGTAACGTGGACAGGCAGCAGCTGTTCCCCTAGTTGAAAGATCAATAACAAGGGGACATAATTCTAAGATGAAGGACAGGAGAGGGATTTTGTGGAAAACATTTTTTTAGACCAAGACAGTGGTGAGAATCTGAAATGCATGAACTGAGGGGATAATTGAGATGGGAAACCTCGCAACATTTAAAAAGTACCTGGATGAGTACTTTAAGTGTCATATCATTCAAGGCTGTGGGACAAGTGCTGGAAAGTGTAGACAGGCCTCCTCTGTGTTGGGCAGACTATAACTCTGCCTTGGAGATACTGGTGATCTATTGGATCTGCCTACCTATATCCATGCAGTCTAAAGCAGACAGATTGGATGCACTGGTTGCAATCTTCTACTCTTCCTAAATTCTTTAGATTCTCTAACAGCCCCAGTGAATTAGAAGGTGACAAGTATAACAGTGCTATTTTAGAAAGGAGGGAAGAAAGAGAGTTGCAGGCCAGTTAACCTGATTAAAGTTATCAGGAAAGTATGGAATCCACTATTAGTAAAGCAGGAACAAGTCACTTAGAAAATCATTACATGATTTAGTGCAGTTAATACAAATTTATGAAAACAGAAATCCTGTTTGATGAAATTGAAGTAATTTTGTGAAGAATTAACTTAAAAGCACAGTTGAAATAAAAACAGACAAAAATATCACATTGCACACTAAACAAACAAGGTCAAAACAAGACAATCAGCCTTTACATCACTTACATTCAAAGCAACACGGATGATATCCTTTATATCAACTTTAATGGAAGAAGTAGTACATGCTTCAATTCCTTCTGGAGAAAGGTACCTAATAAACAGAAAGAACTTGCTTTCAGGTGGCATATTTCTAACACAGGTTCAAATGATCAAACAAAACATAGGCGATTTGCTGATTTTTATTTGTTTTACACATTAAAAGGTTGCCTTCAAACAAAAAAATAAAGTGGAAATGAGAACTCAAAAAAAGGAAATTACTCATTAAGACAGGAGGTGTGGCTGAGATGTTAAAGGTAAACTTTGCCAGGGTGAAGCACATGGGATTGGGGGTACTGCACTGACATGGATAGAGAGCTGGTTGGTTGTTAGGAAACAAAGAGGAGGAATAAATGGGGCATTTTCCAAGTAGAAGCCCGTGACTAGTAGGGTACAACAGGGATTAACGCTTGGACCCCAGCTATTCACAATACATATTAATGATTTAGACGTGGGAACTAAACTTAATATCTCCAAAGTTGCAGACCACACAACTGGATGGAAGAGTGAACTGTGAGGAGAATGCAGAGATTTTTTGGTGTGATTTGGACACATTGAATGAGTGGGCATATGCATGGCAGATGATGTATTATGTGGATAAATGAGAGGCTTTCCACTTTGGTAACTAATCAAAAGTATTTATTACATAGTTCTTTAGATTCTCATGAGTTGTTGTTAACTAATCCTGTCATTTCACCTCTTTTCTAAAAAATGAATCATAAGCCTCACAATACATTTGTTTAACCAAGTACTCAAGTTTAATCTCAACTTCTTCAAATTCTGCCTCTAAATCAATATAAGCAGTGAGATGGATCAAATTAAGAATTAATACATTTGAATCTGAATTGTCCAACATTAAACTGTCAGATATTATTTCATGGGATGCAAGAATATTCAGATGTGTGCGCCTTTTACCTTTAGAACAGTTCAACAAAAGTTACTGTTTTCAACAGTACTGGACAGACACAGCAAAATTGCTTTCTTGTTTTGGAACAAAATAGCAGGTCTGGCAGACTCACAGACAGGGTGCAATGCTCATTTTTGCATCAGCTCATTTACTTCATTAATCATGAAAAAGATGTTTAAATATTCCTCAGGTTCATCAAGTTATTGCCAACCATATTCATGCATAAAGGTGTTATCATGCTATAACTTCAGTTTTTACTAATTTCCATTCATGTCTCCTGAGGTTACTTTCTTAGCCAACTCTCATAGTAATCTGTGCCGATTTTAGTTAATATTTTATATATTTCAATGACATCCCTGAAGCATCATCTTTCTCAAGTGTAAAGTTCAAGCCTTTCCCCAGTCAGCTTAATTCTTCATGTTTGGGATCAGTTTTCATCTTCCGAGGCAAGTTTCGGGCCAGGCACTTAAAGTCACGTGTGACTGTAGTAAATTAGCCTTTTCAACTTGCTGCACAGTTGATCATACCAACGTCTCTTCCTCATCCAACTGAATGGAACTACCAGGGCTTGGTTCCATTCTTCTCCAAGCATAGTCAAGAGAAACATGTGCAACAGTTGCTGTTCAAGCTCATATTTTTCCTTCTGACTTTCCCCAAGGATTGATCCTTGTCCCCCTTCTCCCTTTGATGATATCTAACCTATAGCTCTTCCTAAGAACTGCAGCACAGATGCAGATATTACAATATTCCAGCAACAGTACTGAAGATATGTCCCACAACTGGCTGAATCACAAACTAAGCTGTTCCAATGCAGGTGCAGCATTGGCATCTAGTCGACTGTGTGGAAAACTGTCTAGAGATGTCCTGTCCATAAAATCCAGGACAAATCCAACTGGTCAATTACCACCCTATTAGTTTATTTATGATCATCAGTATAGTAGCAGAACGGGTTGTCCACAGTGCCAGTCAGCACTTGCAAAGGAATAACTTGTTCATTGTTACTCA